CTCAGGTGATCCTTCCGCCTCAGCCTTCCAAGTAGCTGGAACCACAGGCGTGCGCCACCATGCCTGGTTCTTTTTTTTTATTTATTACAACGCCAAGGTCTCTCCAAGTTGTCCAAGCTGACCTCAAACTCCTGGCCTCAACAATCCTCCTGCCTCAGCCTCCCAGCGTGTTGGGATTACAGATGTGAGTCCCCGTGCCCGGCCTGCCCCCGACTCTTGAAAGCCCCCCGCCAAGACCTCCAACACGGGTAACTCTGACGGCCACACTCACCAGCCATCTACCAATGTTTTGGGAAACGGGGAGCGAGGAGGCCTGGGGACCTCCCTCTGGGGAGCAGAGCCGGAGTGGGTGACCCTGCCTCTGGGGGGGTGGGAGCACTCACCTTCCACTGAGAGCTTCTCCACCGCCCTGCGCTCGCCGCGGGAGCAGTGGGGGGGCAGCGTGTAACCCTTGATGCTGCGGCCCGTGCGGACGCGGCTGCTGAGCACGTAGTTGGGGTCCAGGTCGTCCCCACCCTGCAGCGGGAGGGGGGTCAGGGCGGGGGCAGACCTTCCCCCAGCAAGCCCAAGTCTCCCCCAGATCCTCCCCGGCGTCTGCCGCTTGCTCTGGCCCCCCATCCTCTCTGGCTGGGCATGTGAGCCCCCCCATCCCCCAGCCTCGCTCTGTCTCTCCTGCCTCGGTCTCCCCTCACCGTCTCTGTCTCTCTCCCATCTCTTCAGCCGCTCCTGTGTGCTCTTTATGTCCCCCACTTTTTATCTCCCCGTTGCTGTTTCTCTCCATCTCGCCTTGCCTCCCTTTCCCTCCTGTGTGTGTGTGTGTCTGTCTCTCCCTTTTCTTTTTTTCTTGTTTTGTTGGGTTTTTTTTGAGTTGGAGTCTCACTCTGTCGCCCAGACCAGAGTGCAGTGGCCGCTCCCGGCCACCGCAGCCTCGACCTGCTGGGCTCCAGCAATCCTTCCACCTCAGCCTTCTGAGTAGCTGGAACTACAGGCGCGCGCTACCACACCCGGCTAATTTTTTTTATTTTGATTTATTGTAGAGATGAGGTCTCGCCAAGTTGCCCAGGCGGGTCTCGAACCCACGGGCTCAGGCAATCCACTCACCTCAGCTTCCCAAAGCGCGGGATTACAGGCTGAGCCACTGAGCCCGGCTTGTCTCTCCCTTTTCTACACTTGTTTTTTCTTTGCTTGGTTTCTTTTTTTTTTTTTTTTTGAGTTGGAGTCTCACTCTGTCGCCCAGACTGGAGTGCAGTGGCCGCTCCCGGCCACCGCAGCCTCGACCTGCTGGCGCGCACTACCAAGCCCAGCTAATTTTATTTATTTATTGTAGATATGAGGTCTCGCCAAGTTGCCCAGGCTGGTTCTGAACCCGGGCTAAGGCAATCCTCTCACCTCGGCCTTCCAAAGTGCTGGGATTATAGGCATGCTCGGTTTTTTTGAGATAGGGTCTCACTCTGTCTCCCAGGCAGGAGTGCTGTGTCACGTTCACGGCCACCGCAGCTTCGACCTGCTGAGTTCAGGCGATCCTTCTACCTCAGCCTTCCAAGTAGCTGATACCACAGATGTGCACCACCATGCCCGGCTAATACTTTTTAATTTATTTATAGAGACGAGGACTCCCTATGCTGCCCAGACTGATTTGAAACTCCTGGGTACAAGTGATCTTCCCACCTTGGTCTCCCAAAGTGCTGGGATGACAGGTGTGAGCCACCACACCGGCCCCATCTGTTTTTGAGTCTCCTTCTCGATCTTCCTCTCCCGGCCTCTCCGTCTCCTTGAATGTCTCCGTGTCTCTCTGTCCCCCTCCTCTCTTTCCGTCCGTTTCCTTCCATCTCTCTCCATCTCTGCGTCTCCCTCTGCCTCTGCCCTGGCCCCCTCTCCCTGGCTGTCTCTGCTCTCTCCCGGCCCCCACCCTCTCCTGGGGGCCCCTGACCTTGAGATTCTCGTGGTTGAGGTCGGTCTTGTGCTTGTCGGTGGGCTTGTAGCCCCCATGCCGGTCCTGGATGATGGGGTCAAAGAGGTCCTTGAAGACACTGTAGGACTCCTCGTCCCCGGCCACGCAGCCCACAGTCATGATGAAGGGGTGACCTGGGAAGGCAGGGTGGGGTCAGAGGCACTCGTTCCCGGCACGCCAGGCCTGGCCTTGGGGCCCAGTGGAAACCGTGTGTGTGCGTGCGCGTGTGTGTGTGTTGCGGGGAGGCACGTTCAAGACCTCTGGATCAGAACTGAGCGGACCAAGGGAGGCAAAGCCGGGAGAGGTCACGGTGGCAGCCAGGCGAGGGGAGAATGGCCGGGTTGGAGGCCAGGGAGCAAAAGGAGGCTCAGATCCAAGGTGCTATAAATGTTAGCACCTAAGATTCCCAAAGTGATGAAACCTTAGCCTAGAATTTACTTTTTTTTTTTTTGAGTTGGAGTCTCACTCTGTTGCCCAGACTGGAGTGTAGTGGCCGCTCCCGGACACCGCAGCCTCGACCTGCTGGGCTCTGGCAATCCTTCTGCCTCAGCCTTCCGAGTAGCCGGAACCACACCTGGCTAACTTTTTAATTTATTATAGAGATGAGGTCTCACCAAGTTGCCCAGGTGGGTCTCGAACCTGCGGGCTCAGGCAATCCACTCACTTCAGCCTCCCGAGTCGCGGGATTACAGGCTGAGCTACCGAGCCCGACTTACAGGTACCCTTCTTGATACCCTTCTCTTTTTTTTTTTTTTTTTTGAGTTGGAGTCTCACTCTGTCACCCAGGCTAGAGTGCAGTGGCCACTCCCGGCCACTGCAGCCTCGACCTGTTGGGCTCCAGCGATCCTTCCGCCCTCAGCCTTCCGAGTAGCTGGAACTACAGGTGCACGCTACCATGCCCGGCTAGTTGTTTTGTTTTTTTTGAGTTGGAGTCTCACTCGGTCGCCCAGACTGGAGTGCAGTGGCCGCTTCTGGCCACCGCAGCTCCCACCTGCTGGGCTCCGGCCATCCTTCCGCCTCAGCCTTCCCAGTAGCCAGAATTAATTACAGGCATGTATTATCACGCCTGGCTGATTTTCGTTTTTTATTTATTGTAGAGATGAGGTCTCACCAAGTTGCCCGGGCGGGTCTCGAACACGCAGGCTCAGGCAATTCACTCGCCTCGGCCTCCCAAAGTGCTGGGATTACAGGCTGAGCCACTGAGCCCGGCCTAGAATTTGTTTTAGATTTTTATTTTATTATTATTATTATTATTATTTTAGAGACAGGGTCTCACTCTATCACCCAGACTGCAGTGCAGTGGTGTGATCATAGCTCACGGAAGCCTCGACCTCCTGGGCTCAAGCAATCCTCCTACCTCAGCCTCCTGAGTAGCTGGGACTACAGGTGTATGCCACCACGCTCAGTTAATTTTTTTTTACTGTTCCTAGAGGCGAGGTCTTGTTATGTTGCCCAGGCCGGTCTCGAACTCCTGGGCTCAAGCCATCCTCCCACCGCAGCCTCCCAAAGTGCTGACGTGAGCCACGGCACCCGGCCACCCCATTTTTCAGGTGAGGAGACTGAGATTGGGGAGACGAGCTGCCCTCCCGGGGGTCTTATGTTATCCCCGGGCACTTTTATGGAGGGGTTTGCCATGCGTCCGGCGCTGTTCCAAGCCCTTTCTGTGTACTAACGTGCTTATTTCTCACAACCGCCCCCACAAGCAGGGTCTCCGCTTTACAGATGGGAGATCCGAGGCCCCCTCAGGGGAAGGGGGACTGGGCCTGGCAGGCGGCCTCCGCAGCCCCCCAGCTGTGGTCCAGGCAGGCTCACCGGGGTTGTCCACGCCTGTCTGGATGATGTCATCCAGGGTGAAGCCAGACGGGGTCTCCTTGTCCCTCAGTTTCTTGTAGAGGTCAGGGGTCAGCACCTTGGCCATGTGGTTGTTGTGTTTGGCAAGGTCGGGGTACTCCTCCTCGGGCTTGTAGTTCAGCTTGAACTTGTTGTGGGTGTTTCCGAACGGCATGGTGGCGGTGGCTGGGGGACCTGGTGGGTGGGGGGAGGGAGAGTCAGCTGGGATGCAGCCACCGGGGTCCAGAGAGGGCTGTGGGACTCAAGCAAGAGGAGTCCCCTCTCCGAGCCCATCTCGACAGGAAGCCTCAGGAGTCTCGGGTCAGGGCCCCAGCTCTGCCACTTCCTGGCTGGGTGAGCCTGGACTCGTAAGCCCCGCTGGAGACTCAGTTTCTCCAGCTGGAAAATGGGAGGCTCCCCAGCAGAAGAGCTACTGAGGCGTGGGGGTCAGAGTATAGGTTCTAGAATCGGCCTGGGGTTGAAACCTAGCTCTGCTACTTACAACTTGCTGTGTTGCCTGGGGCAAGTTGCTTAACCTCTCTGTGCCTCAGTTTACTCATCTGTAAAATGAGGATGGCATCCCTTGGTGCATGGAATTGTTGAAAGAATTAAAAGAGTATTTTTTATTTGTTTGAGTCAGGTCTCACTCTGTCACCCAGGCTGGAGTGCAGCAGCACAGTCACGGCTCACCACAGCCTCGACTTCCTGGGCTCAGGCGATCCCCTCGCCTGAAGGAGTCAATGCAAGTACAGCCCTTGGCAGTGCCTGGCACACAGTAAGTATTATTTTACGTAGCTATTATCGTGCTGTTTCAGGCTGGGTGCCGTGGCTCACACCTGTAATCCCAGCCCTTTGGGAGGCCGAGGCAGGAGGATTGCTTGAGCCCAGGAGTTCGAGACTGGCCTGGGCAACACAGTGAGACCTTGCCTCTACAAAACAACAGCAAAAAAATATATATATATATTATGCTGTTTTAAAAGCCTGTGTGAGGAGCTAGAGATGGCAGAGACGAGGGTGTGGAGACGGGACATCCTCTTCAGGAAGGTTCCTGGATCAAAGGACAAGGGGCGGAGGGTGGGGGAGAAGCTTTCCTGCAGGGCTCAGTTGGGAAAAAAAGGTCAGCCTCTGGGTGGACAGAGCCAGGTTCAAATTCCACCTGTGCCGTTTCCCTGCTGTGTGACCCGAGGCCAGTCACTAGGCCTCTCTGAGCCTGTCTCCTGGGAGCTGAGCCTTCACCACGGAGTTGCCAGGAGGAATTCTGGGCGTGTGGCTGGCGGGGTGCAGGCACCATCATGGAGGTGGGGCTTGGCAGCTGCTCTTGTTATTATGACTATTATTCACTAGACTCGGAAAGGAGCAGGGACCCCCCAGGGGTGGTGGTAGGGGAGTCCCCACTCCAGGGACAGGAAGCAAGTGGGATTCCCATGGTGCCTGGGGGAGGGGAAGACCCGCCAAAGACCTTTGGAACTGCTGGCCAGGGTGGTTATTTTTAGGCGCCGGCTGACTCCAGCTCCTGCAGCTGCTGCCCGCCTCCCCCCACCCTCAGGGTCAACTTGCACCAAGTCAGCAGGCGGGGTCAGGTGGGCCGGGGTGGCCGGGAGGACACGGCGCTGAGCCTTGGGGCCCAAGGACAGCCCAGGCTTCCGGCCCAGACCCGCCCCTTCAGAGAGCGCCCCCGATTCCCCGCCGGCGACACCCTGGGAGAGGGCACGGAGAGGAGGCGGGTGACCCCCAAGAGACGCCAGCAGAAATAGCCCAGAGCCACACACCCACCCCACACCCCCACGCTCCCCAGATCACGCCGTAAACTGAGCCACGCGGTCACCCTTCCAAACCCAGGGACACACCCAGGTAGGGGCCCTCCCATGGGAACCACAGAAGTCAGACGCAAGGTCACGGGGCCTCCCACGACACAGACCCCAAGAGTCTCAACGCCCGCTCCTGCGACCCCGACAGGTGGCACGCGGACACCTCCCACGGCCCATGGTGCTCAGTTCTGGTGACACACTGTCGTGAGCGCAGGCCTGGCCCCCAGAGCCCCTCGCAGGGGGTGACGGCTGGCAGCTGCCAAGACCCTTGTCGCCTGGGGGACCGAGCCCTCCCCGTGACATCACTTGTCACGATGGGGGTCCGGTGGGCTCAGGTGAGGGGACGCCCCGAGACACAAGGTCACCGTCTCCGCACTCTGACCCGCCCTGTGTGCAGGCGGATGCCGGGGCTCCAAGCTCCTGCCAGCACCGGGGCGGCCTCTGGCCCCCACCGAGACCCTCCAACTCGGGACCCCACCCGATTCCCACCCCGGGGCAGTACCTGGCTGGGCTGTGCAGAAGGGGACTGTCTGTATCCTGAAGGCGACACTGACCCAAAGGACGGGCCTGCAGCCGCGGCCTTATATAGGGGGACCCGGGCTGGGAGGGGCTGTCCCCAGGGACCAGGACTGGAGGGCAGCTGGGCCTCTCCCTCACCGCCCGGGCACCATGCCCACCCTGAACCCAGGCATGCCTCGCACCCAGCTCCATGGCCTTGTATGGCCAGCGCAGGGGCTGGGCTCAGCCCTCCCACTTCCCGGCGAGGCTGATGCCGGGACCAAATGCTGAGTCGGGCTGGCGGTGGGGACAGCTGGCCCCCCGCCGGGAACACGGGACAGCAGCAGGGAGCGTCCCAGGCACGTAGAAGCCACCCTCCCCCGGCCCCGAGCCCGCTCTCGCCACCAGGCCCCTTCTGTGCCCCGGACCGCCTTGACCCTGGCAGGTCCTGGGCCTCACCACTTGTTGGGGAGACCTT